GCACTTCTTTTTAATTCTTTTTTTTTTCTTTTTAACAATTCAAAGACGTCTCGTATTATTGTATATACAGTCTTTACACCCTCGAATTCCACGCCCAATGAAACTGTGTGACGTGTAACCGAGCGGATGTTACAACAATAATAAAAATAATCAAAAATATATATATACAAAAATATTATCTCTCAATTTAGACTGAGCTACTTGCTCAAAAAGTGATTCGAAGGAAAGCTCAAATAACTTCTACCAACCTAACAAAGAGAAATTATTTACAACAAAAATAACTCTGGGGCGGGGTAGTAATCAAAAATCTTAATCTAGCTCCATTTATGCGTCTCAACTGCTGGCTTACTTAATAACTAAGTATAATTCTAATTACTTAAAGCTTAACTTATAAAAGAGAGGGAAGGAAAGACTTGTTCAGTCACGTCTAATCCCTGTCTTACCTTATCCTAAGTTTACTTCAACAGCTACTGACTCTCCTACTTACTAACTGCGAATGGCTTTGCACTGAGAAGGCAGCGCTTTTATACCTCCCTAATTCTCGTACTTGATTCTGATTGGCTGACGACTAAAACTTATCTTCTCTCTACTAGAGAGCTCCTAATTTTAACAAGAGTTATCTCTGATCATCACAACTGTATATTCAATTCTACTCTATATCTGTGATGTCACCTATACGAGGGGCGTTCAATAAATAATGTCATAAGCTTGATGACATACAACATAGTAGTCATATGACATAAAGCTTGACTTTCTCTCATTATTGAATCTTTAATGAATTTATAACAGTTTATGTGACCACTTTTCATCACATAGTTTTATCGTGAGAAGCTGGGAAACAAGGGCTATTCGAGACACTGCATTATAAATGAATGGTAAAGAATCATTAAACTAGAGTGAAAAAAAGCTACATTAAAGCTGCTGTAAAACTTGTTAAAAATCCCAAAGAAATATTCACTGAAATATGTGACATTTACAGCAACCGATGCCTGTTTTATAGACAAATGAGCAGGTGGATTTCAATGATAAAAAATTATATAATGGGAATCAAAAATGGGTACCCTCCTTGCCAAAAAAAAATTATAACAACTTATGTACTGTATGCCAAATTTCAACAAATAATATTTGATGTTGTATGATTGACTTTAAGACACATGGCAAATTTGATAGACATCATATCGGGGGTAGTTTACACTGTTTTTAAGAATGTTTGACAGTAATAAAGCTTGGTACTCTAAGGTCACCCTGTATTTTGAAAAATGAGTGAAAACGACAGCGTGTACAAAAGTCTTAACAATTATTTTAAAATATCCGTAATTGTAATAATCCACGTTTGTTTTATATTCAAACAGATATTTGAACATGAATCTATTGCTTAAAAACAACATTTAACATAAGATGTACTCGATAAAAACGGCGAGGTCTGTCAAGTGCAAAGGTTTGCAAGAGCACAAAGATAGATTTATATGCAATTTTCTTAATATATTAGTGATATTGTTGTTCAAATTCGTATTCGGGGAGACAGTTTAATATCTGGAGGTCTCTAGAAAGCAGTTTTTTTTGCAAAGAAATCGAAAGGTTTATCAGATAAAGGACCCAGAATCAGGAATCCACTACATTGAATTTTTTCATGACAGCGTTCAAACCCGCATGCCCTAAAGAGTAAAGGGGTTTTCGGGATAAACAGAAAGTTAATGTTTTTTCACATTAACAATATTTGCCAGATCTTTGACCTTTTGACTTGTTTCTATTTCCAAACTTGAAAAAAAAAAACACTTTTAAGAAGGAAAAAAATCATTGGATCTACCATTGTCCAGTATACTAAGAGTCATACCCAGAAATGAGTTCTAAACACAATCAGAAATTGGATAAAAATGTTACGGACGTGTGTTTGAATTAAAAGAGATTATTAAGTAAAATCATGAAGACTAAATCATTGAAACGCGTCGTTTGCTTCTTTCTGAGCCCCAATGACATTATTTATTGAACGCCCCTCGTATGCAAAACTGACTTGTACTTAGCTGCAATAATGTAGCCCTCTCCGATTTTTTCAACAATTCCATAGCATCTCCGGAATGGTGCAAACATAATAATTATTTTTTTACATACGGGCAACTGCATACAGAATAAATTGTTTTTACATTCAACTTACTTCAAATAAGACGAAATTTTTATTCAATGTCGACATCATAGCTCGTTAAACGCGAAAACCATGTTAAATAAATCTGCGTGATTACCTGTCGCCCTTCTTAGCAGCCATGATAGTTCACGCGTGACGTACTGAGACTTGCGCTTGAAATTTAGAACATCTTAATGAAGCAAATGTCGGTGTTTATAAATGATCACTCTAAAAAAAGTTTTACTTGTTGTTTTTAAAATAAGATATTAGATTAAGAAAAACTAGTAATTATTAGTAATCCATTTAGTCAGAATAGAAAGTAAATGACTATCATGGTTAGTAATTGTAAACATAATTAGTAATAAGTTAAGGATGAATTCATTTACTTATAAAATGATTTACTAAGTATCAATACTTAATAGGAATTATATATTACTAAATGAACTACTCATTTTTAGTAAATTATTATTACTTAATTTAGAGATAACATGCTTTTTGTTTACTAGATTTTATAAATTATTACTAAGTAAATGTAATTCTGAAATTGATTAAAATCTAGAATGTTATTACTTAAGAGAATGTTGAGTAAATGAAATACTTATCATATTTACTAAAATCGACATTATTTACAAGAAAACCTGCAAGGTATCGACCCTCTGATAAAGTAGATACATGTTACTATGAAAGTACAAAATGTATGACTAATCACAGTTTTCTTGATCACAGTGTCCTAATTGAGCTTTCTGAGTAGTCAATTAGATGAAATGTACATGGAATGGTAACAATACTTTCTATTTCTTTTGTCAATTTCTTTGTAATTGTTTTATTTTATTTAACAATAAGACATTGATTCCAAAATCAAAACCTTATAAATTGAATAAGTTGTATCTTTTTAAGGACCATTTTAAAAATGGTTTAAAGTTTCAAGTACTTAATGCAGCATTTTAATTAGTATGACTTTTTCTTTAGATAAAGGAATATTTAGGAGAAAGATAACTCCTCCCCACAAACAATTAATATGGAAGCCAAAATTATATATTACATTTCAAGAATTCAATCCTGATAGTTATAAGACTACCATTTTTAAGTAATTATTTGTATTAAAACTGCTCTGAATTCTACTTGATTCAGTAAAAAAATTATTGTTTTAAGTAAATCAATTAAATACAATTTTAACAAGATGTGTGAAACACTGATGCCGCCCGTATGGCAACATAGCAAAGGTTAAACTTTTCTCATATGCAAATTCAATATATTGGTATTTCTTGATATCTCAAAGGTGAAGGTCAAATGGTCAATGTTATTGGTATCTAATGAAAGGTACTGCCACAAAAATAGTTAAAATACATATCTGAAATATGATAGCACTAGCCCCAACCCTTCAGAAGTTATGGTCAAGGTTACCAATTTTGAAATGTAGATCAAACTCCAAGGACAAAGGGTCAGATTTGGTGGGACCCAAAGAAATGTCTTGTCACAAGGATGAAATTTGTAAAGTATGAATGCACTAACCCTAACCCTTTTAAAGTTAAAGTCAAGATTTGCTTTTTAAGAGTGGGTCAAACTCCAAGGTCAATGTCAAAGGGTCAAAGTTCTTGGTATCCAATGACTGGTCTTCTCACAGGAATTACATATATGTAAGTATAAAAGCCCTATCCCTTATCGTTCAAAAGTAATGGCCAAGGTTAAAGTTTTTTCACAAGGATTGAAATCTCCAAGGTCAAAGTCAAATGGTTATGGTTGTTGGTATCCAATGAAAGGTTTTTCAACAAAGAATATATATGTGAAGTATTAATGACCTGGTATTTACTGTTAAAAAGATATGGTTAAAGAAAAAGTTTGGAATTTGAAAAGTGGGTCAAACTCCAAGGTCAACGTCAAAAGTTCAAATTTGGCGATACTCAAAGAAAGGTCTTGTCAAAAGGAATGGACATGTGAAATATACAAGTCATAGCTCCGCTAAATCAAAAATTATGGGCAAGGTTAAATTTTTTGCTGACAAACAGACAAACAGAGAGACAGACAGATAGAGAGACAGACAGATGGACACGACAAAAACTATATACCCCCGAAACTTCGTTTACGGGGGCAAAACAAATATTAGTTGTATAGTTAATAGTGGTAAAATCTAAGTAAAGGCCAAGTAATGTTATTGCTTATATACACAAATTTAAGTAAATATAGATTACTAAGTAAAACTTTTTAGTGTTTAAGTAAAACAATTCTTTAAAACAAAAATCAAGTAAAACATTTGAATTTAGTAATTGACATATATTTTAGTAATTGATTTAAAATTTTAAGTAAATGCTTAGTAATTATTTTTTGCTTATCTTTGTTATTTCAAGTAAAAAATGACTACTTAGTGAAACTTTTTTAAGAGTGATTGTACTGAATTGTATCACAAAAACATCAATAAATAAAACCATTTCAAGTGTTATTTTTACGCAAACAGCGATAATTTATGCTTAAAATAAGGGAATTCCTATAAGATCCGCTCCTATAGAACCTAAATTCTCATTGGCTGTCCCAAAATACAATCTATCAAGGTCAGTAAACATGGCGGATAAGTTCAAGTTGTGATGTTGACATATGGATTGTTCTTTATATTTTTGGATTGATTTATGTCTTGGATAACTACATTTTTGGAGTCCAGGTAAGAAATGTTGATAAAATTCCCAGTCTGCCTCCTAGTATAACAGGTGCAATGAACCCTAAGGGGTCATATATGCTATTTACTGTAGATAGTATGCCTCTCCTTGTAAACGGTTTCACATCATCAAACAATTGGTAAGTAAATGCATCTTGTTTGATGTCCCATAATAGGCCTAGACTTCTTACTGGGTCACTGAAGTCCATGCTAAGTACATCTTCTGATAAGTCCTCAGTTGGGAAACTCTTCACTGCTGTTTGACCTGATTTTATCCTGTCTTATATTTCCGTTCTGTTTCAACACATCTTGAGTCTTTTTCATGATTTCTATAGCTGACTCTGCATCGGGTAAGGATACTAAGGCATCGTCAACATAAAAATGTTTGTTTACAAGTTCACACACTTGATTGCACAATTCTGATGAATGATGATCACAGGCGGATTTTCTCAATCCAAACGTGGCAACTGCGGGGGATGGTGAATTGCCAAACACGTGGACGCACATTCTAAATTCCACAAGTTCATTGTTAATGTCATTGTCTCGAAACCACAAGAAACGCAAAAAGTTCCTATCTTCCTCATGCACATAGAAGTTGAAAAACATCTGCTCGATGTCGGCTGTTACCGCGACCTTTTCCTTCCTGAACTTCAAGAGCACACCAATCAAACTGTTAGTCAAATCAGGGCCGGTCATCAAAACATCATTCAGCGACACACCTTGACACTTTGCTGAGGAGTCAAACACAACTCTTATCTTGCTTTTCTTAGGGTGAAATACACCAAATATGGGTAAGTACCACTTTTCTTCATTAGTTTTCAATGGTGGAGCTGGCTCGGCGTGTCCATTTTGAAAAATATTCTCCATAAATGCACAAAACTGTTTCTCTTTGTCTGGGTTCATTCTCAAGTTCGTTCGTAACTTCCTGGCCCGTTGCAGTGCTTGCTCATAATTGTCTGGCAATACTTGTCGCTTGGACTTGAACGGCAAGGGCGCACTCCAGTTTCCACTCTGACCTTTTCTAAAGCCACTGTTCATGACACTGAGGAACTCCTCATCTTCAATCGAGAAACCAATTTTGCCATCACTGCTTGTCTGTATGAAAACATTCTCTCCAAATTCAAAATCTGACTTTGGTCTGGTGTGAGTCCTCAGCTTAAAATCATTTGGGCATGGCTGTAGTATTGATGGACGTCCATTACTTAAGACGTGAACTTTGTTGGTTGTGATTGTCTCAGATCTGTGGGCAGCTCCTAAACATGCCTCGCCTATGATGACCCAACCAAACCTCAATTTCTGAGCGTACGGTGCATAATTGTGTCCAATTCTCTGGTCCAACACATGGTGAGCTGCTATCATGTCTCTACCAATAAGCAATAGAATAGGAGCGTTTTGATCATACGGCGGAATTTCATCAGCTATATCCCTGAGGTGTTCGTGATACCTTGCGACTTCTGGGGTAGGGATTTCCTCTTGCATATTGGGAATCTGGTTGCACTCTATAAGGGTTGGCAATGATAGTCTTTTGCTGCCATCTAGAGACTCGATTATGTATCCTGAGGCCTGTCGTCCAGCTGTGGATATGTAGCCTGAACATGATGATAAAACGTACTCAATCTCCTGAGCATTCTCGTTGAAGTAGTCAAAAAACTCTGACCTCGCGAGTGACCTGTTACTTTGGTCGTCAATGAGAACATAGGCTTTCAGGCTCTGTTCTGGATGGTGTTCCTAATATATATTCACTAGGACTGTCTTTGCACATGACTTTCCTTTGAATCCTTCACGTCCACAAACCTGGGTGCAGCTTGCTCTCACATTTGGATTAGTTGCATCATTAGTCATTCTGCGCGGTTCTTCCCCGCTGTGAAACTGTGAAGTACTTCTCTCTTCATGCATTGCGGTACAGTGTCTATTAGAGTTGCACACATTACATAATACATGTTCTTGACATTCACGGGCTGAATGCTTGCCATTGCAGCATTTGAAACACAGGCCATTCTGTCTAATGAGGGATTTCTTTTCAGCAGTTGGTTTACTGTTGAATGTTCTGCAGTCACTAAGCAGGTGTTTATCTGTTTCATGTAACGGACACTTGCTAGGCTTCTTTGGTGTTAGCTTTGTCTTAATGGTGGTAATATTGCCCCTCACTGGTGTAAACTTGTCTCTGCTTTCAGATGAAGGTGAAGTTCCCTTGTCAAATGCAAAGCTTGGATCATTCATTCTAATGCTCATCTCCTTCAAGAACTTCGTGAAAACGGCAAAAGGTGGGTAGAGAACATCGTGTTCTACCTTATGCTTCAGTGCCCTGTCCGTCCACTTTGACTGTAGAAATCCAGGCAGTTTGGATACAAACGAATTTACGCAAAGGACGAGTCGTAATATGCAAGTAGGGTTTTGTACTTAAGGTTTTCCTTAACCGATTTTACTTCAGCGGCTATGTCAGATAGTTTGTACATCTTTTAGGGTTCCTTTGTAAATATTTTGGGAAACTTTGCTATCTTTTCCTTCAGTATTGCTTCTACCAGTTCTGAGGAGCCACAGCGCTCATCAAGCCTCTCCCAGATTCTGGTGAGTCCTTTCAATGGGTCAGTCGGGTGTGATGCTCGAAGTTGCATGCATGTTGCTTCGAATCTGGTCCAAGGAACTTCACATGAAGATCCAGCTCTTCCATAAGGATGACACTTAAGTCTTTCATAATGATGGAAAAACTGCCTTTCCACATGAGGTAATTTTCGGGTCTGTCATTGAAGGCAGATAATCTTGATAAGAGAAGTTCTTTTTTAATGAGAAACTTTGTAAGTTCTGTGCCGACCCACGATGAGTTGTTGTTACAATCTTGTTCACGTTGCATAACACTGTGATCATTTGGTGGGGCGTTTCCTCCATTTCCATGATTTTCAATTGGTGATTCGTAGTCTCTTCCTGCGTATGTGCTATGTAATTTTGGCACAATTGGTGGCTCATAATCTTGTGCATATTTGTCAGTATTGCGTTCTTCATAGCGTTCATTAGTTTGAGGGTTTGCGTTTTCTCTCATTACAGGATCTTGTTCTTGAACAGATAAGTCTCTATATGAAGGTTGCCTGTATTTGTCTGACATGAATGTAAAAGTTTCATGTTTGTATTTATCAAAGGGATTTGGGGTTCTTTCACTTGAAGCTTGTTCATGGTTGGATAATTCGGATCGCATACTGCTTTGCTCCACCACATAGTCTCGGGTTCTCTTGCACTTTTCACATGTCAATTTACGTACACTATGCTCGGAATGATTTGACTTGATGCTCATTTCCTCCATGAGAGCGTCCAGCTCTGCTTCTGCCTCTTCAGCCTCTTGTACTTTAATGAGATTTAAACTAGTTTCCAAATCTTTCTTTTTTCTTGCTGATCTTGAAGCTGCGATTGCCTCGTCTTCTTCTATTTGCGTCTTTTCTTTAATTAATTTTGCTGTAAGTTCTGCATACTTAGCCTTTGTTTTTGTTGCTTCGTATCTAGCTTTGACTTTGCTGAGATGTGAAGAACTTGTCGACTCTTCTGTAACACTTGCGGGTTCTTGTTTGACTGAAAAATGATCTGTCTCTTTATTTGACTGTGTAGAATCTGCACTAGATGGTCGTTGCTCTCTTTTCTCTTTAACGTCACTTTGATCGAAATGTTCAAGTTCCTTTATGAACAGTTCTGCCTTGCTCATGACTGATCTGTTAACCATAGCATGCGCTGAAAGCTCGTACTCACTCTCTTTTTTCCTTGTTTCTTGTAAGTAGGCCACACACTTTTCAGACAAGTCACCATATTTTCCAAGTGTTTGGGTCACCCTATGTTTCACAAACTCTGCATCCTCTTTTAGCAGGTCGGAGAGAATACTCGAAATCGGGTATTATCCTCGAAATCGCGTATTATATTCGATATTAGGGTATCGTTGAATCCGCAAAATCGGGTATATGAGGTGTAATCACCTAATAAAACTTAAACAATGGGATGGCGCATGTTGCCGAGTTAACTTTCATCTAGATACACATGTTTTCTAAAGGTATCACTAGCGAAGTAAGAATTTGGGCGTCAAGATTAATGCGCCCAGGACAACAAATACTCGTGGAGCTCAGTACATTTCATGACCTACACACAAAAATGCGTTCGATTTGCTTTATATATTTTCATAATGTTGAAAGTATATGCATCTTCCTCATGTTCATTCCCAACACAACAGAATTGTCAAGTATCAGAATTCGGGAATTTATAATAATTCCACATCAACACGGCAAACATTAACAATTTGTAAATAAATCAAATTATACGGAAACACATTTCACACACAAGATATGATGCCATGTACAAACAAGAGATTGTCTATCGTATCTAATTATTCATCATTAATTACTTTCACATTCATCTTGTGCATAAAATCAAATTTATTTATGAATGTATGAATAAAGTAATGATAAAAATGTTTAAAATTTCGGCTAAAAAAGCCCTCTTTCTCTTTTTTTGGAAAATCTTTTTTTTTTATCATTCATACACATTTGCAGGATATGTTTCAACATTTTAGCAGAGACAGTGATAGTTTCAGGAGTACAGCTTATGAGAGAACATCGTTGTTGATCGTTTAATTTCGCTAAGTCATCAATATTTTACCATTTTTTGGCGACTTCAAAGAAGGGGGGGAGGCTAAAGGCTTCTTGACCACCTCTGACAAAACAACCTCGACTGTGTTCTACATATGTCCAAGAGACCTCTCTTTGAATGTCAAGGTCGGTTATGTATTTTTAATTGTAGGGAAGATTTATTCATCAAATAAAAATCATATTGGTAAACAAAAAGCAACCTGTTATTTTCTAACACAATATGAGACGGAATGAAACTAGAATTCATGTTTATTTTTTAAAACATTTTTTCATTATAGATGAGTTTTAGAAAACGTTATTGCCATGAGTAATAAGTATCATAGATAAAATAACTAAAAGAAAACTGTGACATATTGTCTAGAACCAATCAGATAGTGCATTGTATTAGCATATTATAATGAGGTATAAGATAGCGATATAAAAAAAAAAATAAAGAAGGTAAAGAGGTAAAATCTACCCTGTCCATCAAATAGTATAATAAAGAAAGAAATGGCTACAATTTTTATGAAATTTTAATGTCCGATGAGGAATTATATTCCAAAAAGTAAGACAAGAGTTTCCAAGGCAGTTGAACACTCCATTATTTCAGTTTGTTCATTACTATGTTCAAACGTAAAAACTATAAGAAATGTGAAAACTTGACTATGTAATTCATATTTCAAAATGACTGTACCTCGATCTATATTGAGAAATTAAATGTATTTTAAGCTGATGAAAAGATGTACACATTTGACTCTTATTTATAACTCCCCCCCCCCCCCCCAAAAAAAAAACCCAAAAAAAAACCCCCAAGAAAATCCTGTTTAT